AATCACTTAATATTATTAAAGGTAAAAAAACAAAATTGAAATTTATTAGATAATTATTAATTAAAAAATGTGACCACAAACTAAAAAATTAAAATGAATAAATTTGTCAATAAAATTAAAAAATTTTAATCCATTAGCAGTTTGGTACAAAAGTTATATAAACAAACTTTTTTAATTCGCTAGTGATTTAGACCCTAACCGCTATCCATTAACGATTTAAACCCTAATCGTTATCCGCTAGTATCAAACTGCTAAATAAAAATTTTACCAAATACTTTAATTATAGCAGTTTTGAAATATATAAATTTACCAAACACCTATATTTAGCAGTTTAGATAAAACCACTAACCGCTACCCCAAAACCGCTATACGAAACAGAGCCTTAGAATCCCAAGGAATGGTTTGAGCCAGATTCATGTTTCTGTCTGTGCATAAATAATTTGATTTACTTCCATGTATTTATTCCAAAATAAGAACAAGATGGATCAAGCGACCTTGTTTGGATGTGAGGATAAGCAATGATCAAACAGAATTAAATCGAGACAAAATGAAAGAGCTTGCTACAATTATTTTTCAAGAAAAGAGAATATCAACAAGTTCAAAAGTAAGTTCATAATATGGCCTATAGCCATAGGCTGCAAAAAATCAGAAATGATCTAGACAATGAAAAGGATGTGCCAAAGGATTAAGGGAAATGACTGCGCCAATTACTCCATTCCATCCTCATGAGAATGAGCTCTTCTTCAGCTTGGTCAGCAGAGTCTGTCAGCCTCTCCGAAGTCTGCTGTAAAGTGACAACATGATCGATGTGAGAATTTAATTCAGCAAATGCTTGAGTCCTTTGATCAGATAAGGTATTTGCAGATTCTTCCTGGGAAGAAAGTTGCTCACGGAGCCTAGATAACTCTGACTCAAGACGCTGGATTTCACCTTGGGTGGTCTGGATGCATTTAGTCTGAGCCTCATGATCATGCTTTATGGATAAACACTTTGCCTTCTTGTTGATCAAAATTGCAGTCTCATCATCCACAGTTTTACGGGCAGACTCAACTTTCCCTATAACATCTGATTTGACTGCAAAGCGCCTACAAAAATCCGTGAATATAAAAGGGAAGTTAGTCCAGAATTTCTTTTGAGTTACAGATAAATCTGGCGAGTGACTTAGGATTTTAGCGGCGTTGATAATAGTTGGCTGATCTGGAAGGCGATAGAAGTTTGCTGGATCTCCACTAACAAGCTCTTCTAAGGTCTGGATAGCAGTGCTGATCTGTTTTGAGCTAGGTATTGGCGAGTCTGAGCCAGTACTCTCAATCACTGATTTTCCATTCTCTTAACATGGGAGGACTTATCAAGTTCTCAAACTTAGCAAAGATTTCGTCTTCCATGGCATCATCCATAGTAGTAGGAGTTGAAGTCTGTTTTATCATAAAAAAGGGGGGGGGTGAGTCGATGGAGTATATAAATAAATTTAAATGAAAAGGAGATTGAGATGTGATAAGGAAATTTGCAGATTTTCGAGAAAAGAGTATAAAAAAGGTTAGGATTTAAATTAATTAGGCATGTGGCTTTAGGAGTCTTTGGAGGTGAGTTCAAAATTTAAACACTTGGATTTATTCCCATAAAACCAAGTGTTGGGGCATTGTTCACCCCTAAGATAAACTAATAGGGGAAAGCCACGTGTCAAGGTAAAACTCAATTATCAAAAAAATCAATAGCTTGGATTTGGGCTGGCTGGCTTACAATTTAATGGCCCATATGGATTTTCAAAGAGGTTGAATCTTAGGTGACAGAAGATAAAATAGGATCTGGTAGTTTGAGTTTGATTTAAAATGAAAAATTGAGGGTTTTTAAGTAATTATCTTTAAGGTTGTTAGAGATAAGGTTAAATAAAATTATTGGATAACTGTTAAATAACTGCCAGATATGCAATCCCACTACTAGATCATGGAGGAACAGTATCGAAAATCATGGAGGAAGTTCCCAGCACCGAAGAGAACAAAAACAAAGAGAAGAGAACAGTTGAGAGGCCGACCCAACACATACACGCTCAGAGTATGTTTTCCAGCTTTCAAACTACATTTTCTAGATTTCAGCAATAGTTTCCAGATTTTTCAGATTTTCCAGATTAGTTTGCAAGATCTACTCTTATTCATAACCTTAGCCTAGGTTTGTTCATCTTTGTTCATATTTTCTTCCGCAAATCCCAATTTAAATTAATTTTTAAGCATTTGAAAGCAACTTAGCTTTCAAAACAGGTCTGCCCTTTTGATTCGGTTAGTTCTTCTTTCTTTTATGAATTTAATTATGTTATTCGTTCATGTAAATAGGTTGAACTTTTTCTACCTTTGTTCTTTTGTCTCTGCACAATATCCAAACATTCAGTGCACTTAATTTTAGTTTCCAGTTCTATACTTCAATTAATTTGTAGTTATTTCTTATAGTTTTAACAATCAAGTTGTTTAGTTATTGTTATTTTAATTCTGCCAGTAATTAATTTAATCATTATAGATTGCGTAGTTGAAATCATTGTCTGTTATTTTACTTTTCCTGTTGTCTGTGAATTTAATCTTTATAACATGTTATTTTTTGTTATTTATTTCATGTTAGTTTAATTGCCTTAGGATATTGCATTTATTTTAGGATTTGTAACTTTTATTACACTTTTGGTTGTGAAGTTTTTGGAGGTTTCCAAGACAATTAATAACCCATTTTGCAGAACTCTACACTCTATTTTGCAACATCATCTGGGGCGCAATTCATTTTACAGACATTTTTTCCAGCCATCCTATTAGAAGTCAACCGTCAAAAAAGAGAAAGGTCGTTTGGAAAATCCAGCTTTCTTGTTTTTAAACAAAGCAAGTGGCACGCCTAATAACCAAACTCACATAGTAAAGGTCAGCTAAGGATTTTTAGGGAAACAGGTGGTTTCAACTATGCATGTGGATTATTAAATAATAGGACAAGTGATGAAATCTTAAAAACAATCTAACTCCATCAACTACTGAGATGTCCCACTTCTTCATGAAACCATCCACAATTTGCATAACTATAGAAAGTGGGAGGTTTGCAGCCGAAGAAGAGGAGAACAAAAGAGAAATTTTCAATTATTCAACACACGGCTAGCCCTACCTAGAACCTCACAAATTTTTAGACTTCCAATTTCTCTACAATTGCTCACTTTAGTTTACTGATTTTGAATTTCAGCATAATTACCAATAGATTTAGGTTGTTTATCATCATTCTAGTAGCCTACCTAGTTCAAGTATTTGTTTCAGCAATTTCGTCTCATGTAATGAACATCAATCTCTGAATTTCTGCAAAATATTGTTCCTTTTCTAATTAGTGTTAAATTAGTATTTATGGTAAGTAGCATTTCATAAAATGATTACTTATATAGCATTCAAGCTTTTCTCAATTTCGAGCATATTAGTTTAGCTCCTATTCATATTTGTTTTAGTGTTCATTAGGATTAAATCTTTAATTTTGTAGTAGTTTAATTTCTAGATTTATCAATAAATAACAATTTAATCTAATAATGAACATATTTAATTTAATTTGAGTATATCTTATTCTCGTGAATTTATTTTAATTTGCACGTCATTTAGCTCGTTTAGGATCTATTAGCTTTAATTCACAGTAGTATTTAAGTTTTTAGAGTTATCCAAAGCAAATTTAGTAACCCATTTTGCAAAAAGACATCCCTCTTCTTGCAAATCGTCTATAAGCGCAGATTTTAACTTTAAATCAATGTTCAAGGAGGTCAACCATGAGGAAAAAGAGATTTGTTGGGAAAATCCTCTTTCTTGCTTTCAGCAAAGTAGATGACATGCTCGTATCCAGATTTCACACGTGCAAGGCCATTAGAGAAAACAAGGTTATAATAGAAAACATTGAGGATACCTTCACCCAGAAGTTACCTGAACTAAGATGCCAAGGAAAGTACAATCTAACCAAAGAGGTAAAGAATGCAAGGTCTAACATATACCTGAAATTTAGCAACAGTATCAGGAGTACGGAGAATCCCCTGAGGTAATTCAGCAAGAAGTTCTGCAGCTTCCTTGTACTTTGTCTGAGAAATCAATTCCTGAAATCGCTGGACCACGTAAACATAAATAGAGGCAAATGTTCAGTGCCCATGGTTCATAATAAGAAGGTCTAGACAAAGGTCTCAAGACAAGCATGATGCATAATATCATTCCAAAAGGATTCCAAAGACAGACCATTTACTCTTAAATAATACGCCCATAAAGATGTGCTAGAAAAATAAATTAGTATAGCGGTCTCAAAATAGTATTAACCTTGTGAATGATAAACCAAAACCACATTTAACTTACCAAATTTTCGGTACCAGGAAGATTACCCCTTTTGGCAAGGTTAACAGCAAGTTCCAGATTATTCAACTACAAAAACACAAATCATGATTTGCTACAAAGAATTCTCATTTCTCAAACAGC